ACTACTACTACTACTACTACGGTAGCTTTCTGCATACTCAGTGGCAGTGGATGAATGCCCCCGACGAAACCTTAAGCACTCTGCATTCTGCATGGTACTCTACATTAGCCACTGTGCAGAGGATACAGATCTGCTGAGCGATGCCAGCAAAGCAGCTTGCCTGCATTGCTGGGCCGGGTATCTAAACTCCCAGAACTGTGGCTACGAATAGGTTTGTGACTTAGGCTAAGTGCTATCATTAGCGTGGTTCCGAACCTCTCAGATCATTTGCCCTAAGCCGGCAAACCCGGTGCCGCTTTCACTATCAGAGATGAGGCTTAAAAACAGCTAGATGATTCCGGTATCAGGGTTAGGCGTTATGCCTCCATAACCATTTAGGCCTCCTGCCAATGTAGTGCTCGGTTGGCTGGATCATGTCTGCTTCAAGCTGCTATTGGCAAATGTCTTCTGCTTTCTGTTGTTCTCTTGGAGTTGTCTAATGCTCCTTAAAACTAGCCTGTATGCTGCGCAAGATGTCCACTGCGAAACTCGCTCGGGGAGCCATGACAGTAGCCGCTGCTCTCTGCTGGGCCTTTCACCACTCCATCGTTTGGATCCTACATCCTCAACCAAAAAAGCCCAGCCAAGACAGTGCTTTTCGTGATCAGCCGGCCAAGGTGGTTGCGATCCAGTCAGCTCCCTTCTTTTCGCTCTTCCTGTCGCATGCAGCTTTCGGGCTGCAAAGAATTGCAGCGCTGGGTCCCGTAAACCCGAGAGCCTAAACGTAAGAAGCTGAGAGTTAGGCCTAACCCCATGTCCTGAACTGTTAAGCTGCAATATAGAAGCCCAAACAATTACCAATGCTACCGTTAGGGTTCCTTGTTTTAATAATTAAAAAAGGAGCCCAAAACCCTATTCTAATTTTTCAAGGCCCCTACAGTAGCCGAAACCCCAACCCTGAAGCCACCCCAAGTCTCTTTGCTTCGGTGCTCTCTTTTGCTGGGTTCGGTTTTTCTGGCTCCTAGCTTAGCCGTCTTGTCGGAAACTGCAAGACAAGCCCGAGCCTCCAAAATCCGGGTTAGTTGTCAGAATTAGGATTAACGGTTTAGGGTAGAAGGGCTCGAAAAGGCCTTCGTCACGATCTTACAAGTCTTCCTGGGGGCTGTAGAAGGGTTCAAGAGTTCACCGGGTTAGGGTCCGAACAAGAACTACGCCCAACTCACAACCCTTGAGACCCGAAAAACAGAGAGCTGTTCTATGTCTAGGCTTGGGGTTTAGGGTTCCTAAACCTGCGTGCGAGATCAGCCAGCTTCGAGGATCAATCCCAGATCTACCACAGGGTCTGGAAGAGTTAACAATATCTTTAGTTTCATCAATATACTGAGTGTAAGCCCAAACCCTATTCCAAGCACTAAGGCCCCTATGTTAGACTATCATCCCCGAATCTACCACCAGACTGTGGTGGACCAGAGGCCCTACAACCGGAAACCGAAAAACGGCACGCGAACTTGCAGTATGGTACCGAGTATCTCCACCCCGGGGTGGAGAAAATTCTCAAGGTCTTGCAAGGATAACTAGCAGGGTTTAGGATTTGGGCAGTTCTCCAAATTAGGGTCCGGCTGTAGGTCCCCAATATCGTACGGCACCCTTATAAAAAGGACCCCGAAAAGGGATCCTGTTTTGGAGAACTACGCATGTGGACCCAGGTGTAGGATTCTCGTTGCAAGTGCCCCCTGGCCCCTTTAGACTCCCGGCCCCCCCGCCCCTCCAAAAGAACAAACGCAATTGAATGCAAATCCCCTTCTTGGCTTGAAGCCCTGAAGCCTAGCCTGACGAAGTTAAACACTTTTCGGGTTAGGGAAGCCCAGCCTCAAGAAGTTAAACATCTTGAAACATCCCTTGAGCTTGAAGAATGCATTGGGGCCCCTGAACCTCAAGACCCCGAAACCAGAACCTAGAAATGCGCAACTTCCAAACCCAGAACCCTGAAATGCCCTGAACACTCTATCCGAAGCCAAAAACTTCAGACCTCACATCCTAATCCCGAAAATTCTTCAAAAGAACCTTCGAAATCTTCCGAGCTTAGTTTCGAAAGCCCAAAGTATGGAAATCCCTGGCAGCAGCCCGTAGGAATCCTTCAAAGGAAGCCTTGCAGTAACCATTAGGATTCAAATCTCATAGCCATGGCTCTAAACCCTAAACCCTCGAAAAATCCCTCGAAATCTCATAGCCATGGCCGTGGAAGGAGTGGGAGACGACCCAGAGCCGGCAGACGAGAGCCGATTCCACTGCTTCCCAGGACATCTTGGGGTTTGGGGTTTAGGGTTTTGGTTTTGGGCTGAGGGTTTATGAGCTTGCAAAGAGGTTCTTTGGGCTTTTTGGAAGTGTTTTACCAGGGTTCAGGCACGGCTGTTTGCTGCGTTTGGGGTTTGGGTGGTTTTGGGTTTGTGATCCAAGTTTTGGGATTAGGACTAGGAGTATTGTGTGCTTATGTGGATGCCAAGCTCAGCACAAGGAACACTGCAATGTACAATGCTGGAGCCGGATAAGTCCTGTGCAACGCATATCACATCACTAACCACCCCTGGCTGAGGATTACAAGCTGAGATCCTGCTATTGTGTTCTTTGCAGCAAGCGCGCCATTGTCTTGCAGTCTACGTCGGTCATGCATTCATCCAGAGGGTCCATCTGCACTACCATTATGGAATTAGGTCCCGGAAGGCCATCCCTATTATGGTTTTGCGACCTACTTCCACAATGGTAGTATATGTGGAGCCTATGTGCTGGTGTGGTCTTTTCTGGTGTTTGATCTAGGCTAGCGCTCCCTTCAAGAGAGCTAGGGTCGTAGGGCTTCGGGTTTATGGCTGAACCCTAAACCCTAAACCCTATGAGTAAAGCACACCACCAGGAGATCCCGAACTCGAAAGCTTTTCATGGAACGCTAAACCACAGCTTGGGCTTGGCCCCCCGTAGTCATGTAGTGGGAGTATGGAGGGATTTGAGTCTGGGTTCAAAAATGGAGGGACCCAAACTGAATTCGCAAGCAGTTGTAGTGAAGTGGTTTGGTTTAATTGGAAAATGAAGGGTCCGAATAGAATTACTGTTGTCCCATGGTCCACCTTCAGAACCCAAACCCACTTTTTTGTAGGTTCTTATTATAAACCCTAATATGGGAGTTATAGGGACCCTGCAAAACAGTGGGTTTTGGGTTCTTAAGGCATACCCCAAACACCACCCTGCTGAGTGGGGAAACCAGGATCCCACTGCCTCGGTTGGGGGGCTTCTCCCGGCGCTTACGGGGGCGTTGCCGCGGCAGGCGGCTTTGTTGTGGGCTTTGGTCTTCAGAGCTTGCCTTATAATAAGGAATGATATTTAGGGGTTCTTTCTATCAAGGATTCTTTTACTTAGTGGTTAGGGTGCTCTGTTGATGATTCGATTTTGGGTTTCGGTTCAGGGTCCAGGGGCCACAGTTCTTGGCAGTGAAATCGGTGTGTGGGTGTGTTCTGAAGACGGTTCTCGATTGGGACTTGTTCATGACACCGCTCTGTAATGACACGGGCCTCCCTTCACGTAGAGGTTTTTGCCAGGCACCACAACCCCTAAACCCTTATAAACCCTAAACCCCTCTTGAGATGTTCAATTGTCTGGGCATAGAGGCCGTGGTCTTGAACAACGCCGAACTCTTAAGCCCAAGAGTGATTCGATGCCAAAAACGTCGGCGAAGTCGTTAAAGGCTTTGCGGTTGTGCCAAGAATTCCCGAATGCAGTGCAGAAAGGAGGGACTTAGAGTGGAGGACCCAGATTAGAGTGTAAGTTCAAGAGCCCCCTTTCGGGGTTCTACAGGGGTACCATGGGACATACTAAATCTTAGAGTTGCTACAGGGGCTTGAAGAGGTATTAATACAGTAATTATTCCTTACAGTTCCTCATATTTATATGTATAATATAGAATAACCCCAAAGCTTTTCTGCAAGGATTATAAGGGTCCGTATATATCAGGGTTTAAGCCTTTCTCCGGTTCATGCGGGTTTAGGGGCTTCAGGTTGTGGGGTTCATGGGGCTTTTGGGACATACTGCTGCAGCTTAGAGTGCACAACGACAAGCACCGCCTCTAGCAGGCATAAGGTGCGTCCCTGTCACCCGAAACCCTAGGATCTACACCCCAAGGCACAAATCGAGATTTGCATCAGCAAACACTCCAAGGCTACGAAAGTCCTGTCAAGACAGCCGTCGCCTAGTTCCGTCGAAAGATTCTGAGCCCTACGCCTTGGAGTCTGCCGGTTCCTGTTTCTTCAGCCTAAGGTCCTAGTGTAGCCGCTAGCCTTCCACCCAGTAAAAAACCCTGAGCCTAGGTTTTGGGGTTTGTAGGGTTTGGGCCACCCCAAGGCTTTGCACCTCAAGAGGCAGGCTCCATCTCGGCGTGGCTGGAGACTGAAAACCCTAAGATTCCATGTGCCCAAATAGTATGTACATTGACCCTAAAGTACTTATATAGAGACTACATTAAGGCCAAAGTATATACTAGTTGGGTACATGGACCCGTAGGGAAAGGGACACCTATACATGAGCAACGCTCCGGAGGCTCGCCGGAGCGAACGCCCCGCGACCCTCGTCCACCCCGCTCCAAGAATTGCGCTGACGCCCGCAACACGACCGGTACTCCTAAGGCCAACGATCGAGGACGGAGTGGGGGAAAGAGTGGCGTCGGAGAGCGCCGTGGAGGTTGAATTGGCACAGAAGGAGATCGGCGCCCAGAGCCTCTGGGCCAATGGCCTGTATACGAGGACAGCAAAGTTGTTGTCCTCCGGCATAGTGGCCGGTGTTGCGATACCGGTCCTTCAGTTTGACGGGTGGACCTCCCTTCGCGTGAGGGGATCCGTCGCCGCTTCTGACAAGACGAGGTTCACGCTGAGGAACGAGGCATCGAAGATTAGCGGCCCAGTCCGGGCACACCATCGCAGGAGTCCACGGCCTCGCCACTGCATTCCTTTGGGTTCCCTCCTATGCCATCATACAATATTATCAGGGCCTCAAAATAAGTATAATAGACACCCTATAGGGAGTAGTATTAGTGTCCAAGGCTCTAGGCCCACATTGTATGTGCTTCAGGTTTCTGAGCAGAAGCCGGTCGCACCGCTAGCGCCGGAGACCGGAGACTCGGTCAAGAAGTGGTAGATGAGTTGAAACCCCGAGTTAAGGGTTTCGGATTTAGGGTTTAGGATTTAGGGTTCAGGGTTTAGGGCGTTTAGGATTTAGGTTCACCCCTGGTTTAAGGCCATGGACCTATGGCCGTAGGGCTTGGGGCGAGCTTTGGTACTCGGGCGGAATCATTAGAACGAAACTGCCATTCCATGGTAGACCTTAGAGAAGCCCAGAGATGCAGCCCTCGGCATCGGCGGTTCACGTCAACTTGAATGCCCGTGCATATTTTTGAAGATTCACCCTTGAACCCAAACTCTCAGCTGCTCCGAATGATCCCCCGTTCTTTTCGTGCTTGTCCGTTGATTCATTGCTTTACCTTTGCATACGTGAATCCTACTCGCAATCCTTCTCAGTCCTTTGATTCCTAGTTCCGTCCGATCATGGAAGCCGAGCCTGCTGCCGCATTTTGCGGTGGAATATAGCTTGAAGGTTAGATAACTTATCCCTACAGTGATATTACCACAAGGTGAGAGTAGACCTCAGGCAATTTTTGGGCCTGAATAGTGATGAAATCCATTCCCTTATAACTATGACTACTGTAATTACAGTAGCTATTACCATCAGAACCCAGTTAAACAATCTAAGCGTTAGGGCTCCTAAATTCCATCCTACAGGCAATTCATGTCTTCCCTCTAGGGCTTAGTATAGAAAGCCGGAACAACTTCCAATACTATTCCTCAGGGTTCCTTTGTAACAACAGATTGCGATTCGCATACAACACTGATCAAAAAGGCCACCGAAATTACGGCCCGAGATCCGGATACCATGAACGACGAATCGGGCGGCCTAGGGATTTGCCACACGCTGGGTGAAGTCGTCAACTTGGCCTGCGACATTCTCATGGCTACACTGGCGGATGCGCTTTGGCCCTCTTTAGGGTTCAGGGGCGGATGGAGGGGTTGGGGGCTTCACCTTACACCCCACAAACCTACCTCTTTTATGGGCATGCACAAGGAAATCATCATGAGGAGCCCTAAACCCCCTAAACCCGAAACCTAAACCCTAAGCCCTAAATCCTAAAACCTCTCAACCCCTAAACTATCAGCCCTAAACAAAACAGGGTTGAGGACTCCGACCCTGCATCCTAGGCCCTAAGGTTTCGGGCTTCTTCAGGTCAGAAGCTTCGCGGTTGAGGGCTTAGATTGAGGGTTCAGATTTAGAGTTTACCTATAGTCTCCATTGTAGTTCCCTTTTTTGTTTTAACCAATTATATATTAGGGATTTAAAAGGTATCCCCAAAGAGGAACTACAATAGAGACTATAGGTAGATTTAGGGTTTATAAATTCATGGTTTAGGGTTTAGCGTTTAGTCCCCCGAGTGTGCTTTGCAGCAGCAGCCTCCGAATTCATGCTGTCGCGAGTGCAGCGTGGAGCGAGACAGCTGTCCTGGCGTGACGTTGCAAGCCAGTTGCAAAAGGGTTTAGCGTTTAGGAGCCAAGATTCCTTAAACCCTGGTTTAGGTTTAGAGTTTAGGATTCGGGTTTTAGGGCTTAGGGCTTCGGTTCTAGGAGACAAGAGTCCCTAAACCCCGAACCCTACAGGTGCGCATGTACCGGAAGGGCGTCCACGGAGCGCCCAAGCCGGAGCCACGGCCTTTCCACGGAGGCCGATCGTGTTCTTTGCACCCTAAGCCCTGAACCCTAAACCCTAAATCCTAGGACTTTTCGTCAAATTATGCAAAAAAAACCCTAAATCCTAAATCCTAAACCCCCAATCCCCTAAACCCTAAACCCTAAATTTGCATGCTCATTGGGTTCAACCTGGAATTCCAACAGCACGCCGTCATAAGCAGAACAATGCTAAGGGGAAGCCTCATAGTGATACTGACAAACACCATCATAATCCTAACCACAGTAGCAATCACAATTAGAGAAAGAACTACGATACTGACAAACATGACCATACACTGTTGGATTGCGTTGACGGCGTCATGCTGAGGGGATTCGTGGCTGCATAGAGGCGCCTGACTAGTTGCACGGCTCCTTATTAGAACCATGATATGGCATAGTTACCCCGCAACACAGCTCTAGTTATTACGGCCCCTATACTCAGGAGGGGAGGGCTTGTGTCTTAAAGAAACTCAAAGACTTCCGCATTTACATGTTTGAAGATAGGTATATTTTAATCCCTGGAAAATGTTACAAACATCAAAAATTTAGCTGTCCAACCTCTCGGTCTCTGGCTGGGCTGCGCTTCTTGTGTCTTGGGGTTTGGGCTCGCAGACTCTGCCGTGCTGTGGTGCTTTGGTTGAGACTCGTATTGTGTCGTCGCGGACGCAATGCTGGTCATAGTCCTGCTCGCACTCGGTGTGGTGGTAGCAGGTAGCAGTAGTGGTAGAAATAATGGTAGTTGTAGTAGTCGTAGTAGTCGTAGCAGTAGTCGTCGCCGTCGTCGTAGTAGTAGTAGTAGTAGTAGCAGCAGCAGGAGTAGGAGTAGTAGTAGTAGTAGTAGTAGTAGTAGGAGGAGGAGGAGGAGTAGGAGTAGTAGTAGTAGTAGTAGTAGTAGTAGTAG